AACTAACTCCCTTAACAACAAAGAAACAATTTATCTCATACCATACTATGGCGAATAGGAGATTGATAACTCACTTACAAAAACAACTTGATTCTAATTTAGGGACAATTTAGCAATATGTTAAGCAACCATAATTGGGCTTATGTAGAAGCCGCGACTATCTAAGGCCAATTAATAACAATTTTTGTGTTAACACAAGTTAGAGAAATGACATGTAGGTCATTCTCCTAAAACTTGTCACGCTAAAAGAAAAGAGGTAGTGGTCTCATCTTGATCATAACTTCAAAGAGAAGTCTCATGATATGTAATATTTTCATTGACCAAAAGAAAGAAAAAAAAGAAGAGGGGAAGGGAGGCCAAATTGAATCACAATATTTGAATCATTCCATCTTCAAGTTCCATCACTCTTCTTGGTGGATAAAAATACTAAACCTATCACTAATTCAAAGCACCTAAAATGAATCAAACGATCCACTTAAAGATATATTTGAACTAATGAAGATTTATCCAACTTCATCAAACACCCAAAGTCCATGGAATTTGAAGAGAAAATTGATTAACAAACACCCAATTCAAGGCAAAACAAAAGGAAATGCAAGAAGGAAGAAAAGAAACCAAAACAGTCCCAAAACAAGGCAAAAAACAGCTACTGCCATTGTGTTAATCGATTAACCTAGCAGGCGGTTAATCGATTAACACTATTGCAGAAGTGAAAAACGGTTTGAAAAATTGCAAAATCCTTGATCAATCATTTCTTCAAACACCTCATGATCAAGGATGCAATTGTGCACGAAAATTCAAGTAAAACAACAGCAAATAACACTAACGAAACACAATTTGTAAGATCCAACGATCAAGCAATAAGAATCAACAAGAGATCACATTGTGGAAGATGAATCAAGTACAATAATGGTGGATCAAGAGTTTACCACTTTCAAATCTAAAAGTGCTTCAAATCAACTTCAAGAACCACACTCCAAAGTTTTGATCTGCAGAATTGATGTTGATGAAGTGTTTTTAAGGAGGTTTAGCTCAAAGATTAGTAAGCTTCAATGAAAAGCTTACTAACTTTTAATGGAAGAAAGAGCTTTGGTGAATTTGGGTAAATGAAAAAAATTAAGAATGAGGAAGAATTTTGACAAAGTGAATTTGGCTATCAAAAGCTTGAAGAATGAGTGAAATTAGGGCTTTATTTATAGAGCTTAGGCTTGGAAGTTTTGGTGGCTTGGAATTTGGTTTAGAATTTAATTTAGGCTTGGAAATTGGATTAGAAGCAAAATCAAAGATCAAATGGCTAAAAAGTGTAATTAAATGAGGGCGTGTGATGGAATTTAATTATGATGAGGTAGAGGGATTGAATTGGGGTGATTGTGCATGCTCTAGAATATTCCACCTGGTTAAAATGATGTCATGCAATTGAATGAGGTGTATTTGTGCTGCAAAACTTGAAAATGCACTTCCTGGACAAATTTCCGCAGCTGTAATCGATTACAACATTTGTGGTAATCGATTACCATGTTGAAAAACTCCAAAAATGGCCTTTCTGAAGGGTGGTAACAGATTACACCAAAGGTGGTAATCGATTACCACAGTAAAAAAAATGTGAAAATTTGCTTTGTTGGCTGCATTGCTCTGGCTATGGCTCGATTCTTGACTTGTCAAAGAAGGCATGGAAATAAACACATGAACCTTAGAGTCTCTTGAGTAATAAACAATCAAATCTTGAGAAACTCTTGATCGAATGATTTTGAATTGTTTGCAGATCAACTTTGACTTTGTTCAAATGAATCTCATTCGGGCTGAGGAACTAGTATTTGATGTTCTTGATCTAAACTTTCTTCTGAAAAAGTTAGTAAAGCGAAAAACAAACATAATTTTAGTATTTTGATTAGGGTTAGTAAACATAAATAAGCAAATAAAAGTAAATAAGAAACACACAGGTGCTTGATGATCTCCCTCAGAACCAAACCTACAGAGGAGGATAAGGGAACCAAAGTTTTTTATCTTGTTTGTGATGTCGGATGTAAATGGCATGTGGGATCTTAGGGATAAAAATTAGGGTATTATACCTTCAACTGAGAAACTTGTCCTTAAATAAATACTCGCCCAAAGTTGAGGGACTCACCAAAGGCCGAGGGGCGTACCTCAAATGAACGAGACCTTGAAAACACTTTGCCTTTAACAAAGCTCTTGTGCTTAAGGGACTATGTAGTGTTACATTTTTCAGTGTCCTCAATAAGGCCACCCTTGCTCAAGTGTGGTGTCATCTAGCCGATACCCTCTCCAAATCATAGAGCTCGCCTTTGACACTAATGATGTGTGTAATGTTGTTAGTCAAAGGAAAGGGAGATCACTATTATTCCCTTAAGATTAGGTGGTGAACAACTTCCCAGGATCATGAAGGAGCAGTTGCCTCCCCTAAGGGTTACCTAAACTGCCCAAGTCATGCATATCACACCTCACATACGCTTATGCCTAAGCACACCACTCAATAATAGGCGTGTTCATGCAGCAGTTTGGACGATTTTGATGCTAAAAATCATTTGAACTGCAAGAGGAAAAACACGCAGTTTGATTTGTTTCGGATGACTTTTAGAAATAAAATCAAACCAAATTAATGTGGTTTGAATTGGTTTGATTTTTTGCAAGATTTTTATTGAGCAACAATATAATTTTGTGCTTAAATAAATTTGTAATTTGATGCATAAATATGAATTGCGTATTGCCATTTTATCTTATATTAAAGAAAATATATGAAAGTGTATTCTTAAATAAATTTGAAATACTATTAATATTTTATATATAAAAGTATACAAAAGTAAGGTACATTAAACTTTTTCTTTTAATCTTATCTTTATTAATGTCAATAAATTAAAATTAAAAATGAAAACAAAAACAAAAATAACAGTATTTATAAATAAATAATATTTTATTTTTTATTAATATATAAATTAAAATAAATATCATACAAAAAAAAATACAATAAAATAGGCAAAAATTACTTGTTGAGTTCTCTGGAAAATTAAAAAATAAATAATAGTTTGTAAGACTTTGTAGTCTAATGAGGTGTTGTTCGGTTTGTTTCAGTATGCAAAATGCAAAATGTAAACCGCGAACCAAACTGAACCACGCAATTTTGTTAAAAAATGATTCAAACACATTCGAATCAAATGCAGTTTTTTACTGTTTTTGATTTGGTTTGATTCGGCTAACGATTTTTTATTGGATTGGTTCGATTTTGAACACCTCTACTCAATAACATAATCTCTTATCTCACGTGAGCAGAATCTCTAAACCACCGTAAAACACTACTATACATGACTTCTCACCGCCACGGCCAAATCCTAACCACCAACGTGACATGCCTACTACGACTTCCGAGCATCTCTCTCATTGGCATGAGTGAATGCCCACTTGTACTTTTTTAACAGGACAAGTGTCAAATGAAAAATGAATTTAAATAATTATTTTTAAAATATTATTTTAGATATTTTACCTGAATTTTTATAAATATTAAATTTTTAAAAAATCACTTAAAATTAAAATTACTTTAAATATCATATATAAAAAATATTTTGAGATAAAAGATTTCAAAAATAATGTGATTTCGTTAATATTTTAATTTTTAAAAATGTATCTTACATTACAAAATGTCAAAATTAGTCTCAGTTTATAAAAAACAAATTTCAAAAAAAAACTTTTAATATTTTAAAAAATATTTAAATTAAAAATATTTTTTAAAATATTAAAAAAAAAAACTAATTTTAAAGATAAAAAAACAGTCCTAAAAGAAGTCTATAAATAAAATATAGAACTAAATAACAATTGTAATTTCACAAATTCACTATTTATTAATACTTTAAACTATAAAACTAATACGTATACACTTTACACATACATCTAAATAAATCATGTCATTTAGATATTTATAGAAATATTTTAAAACTCAATGTATAAAAATGAAAACATGTGTAATTTAATTAAAAACGTATAAAAGTATTTTAAACTATCAATAATTTACAATAGTCATGTTATATTCCAATGGGATTTGTTATAGGAGCAGAATCCAGAATCCATTAAAAGATTTAAAGCAAAACTTAGAATCCGTTTGTTTTAGTTTTTTTAAAAATAATTTTTATAGTATAATATAATTTTGTGGAAAAAAAATTTACAAAGAAATTTTTCACAAAAACTTCAAAATAAAAATGTGATTTGAATAGTTATTCTCAAAATATAATTTTAGATATATCAACATTTTATCAAAAAAAAATTGTGGATACTAAAATTTCAAAAAAATCACTTAATTTTAAATCTATTTCAAATAGCTTTGCATAAAAATCGTTTTTAAAGTGTAACTTTTTTTTAAAAGTATGATAAGTATAATTTTAACTATGCTTTGATTTTTAATAATGTATGCTTATGCTATATAATTTCAAAATTAGTTTTGAAATTTATAAAAAACAAATATAGAAAAATATTAACTTGTAATATTTTAAAAAAGAATTTTACAAAATCCATTTTTATAAATACAAAGAAAAAATTCATTTTTTTAAAGCTAAAATAAACGGCCCACTTTTATCATTAAAGTCAAGTCGAAACAGATAATCCATTATATTTCAGATTTAGCTGTAATGTATAGGCGTTTAAAATGGTACAAGGATGAACATAGTTCCTTCCCTAGATAATAGACTATTCATGAAAGGATGCGAACAAATTGCCATGAAAACCCCCTTTCTGTGTCATGATGTCCTCTGCTTTCGTTCCTCTTGAGTGAAGGATACATTCAACTTTGTGGTGCCGAATCAAGCATCCACTGATAGTAAACAGAAATCTAGAAGATAAAAACAGCAGCTGTAACCAAAACAACTGATCAAAATGGGAAATGAGGAAATCTTTTCTGCCATTTGCATACATTCCTTATACTTCATACAACAGCTGGGTCTAATGGTATAGTAAAACACAAGTTCACAACAAACAAAATGAGAGACGCAATAAAATGGCTATACTGCAAAACCAGGAATTGAAGACGGATCGGCCACCCAACACCCTCTGAGATGAAGATCGTCTTCTCCACTATGCTGAAAAGCAGGAACCTGATGTGAAAATCTACCAACCTCTTCTCTTAATATTTCAATTACACCGGCCTTAGATCGCCGCGTAATAGGAGCCTTGAAAATTGGCTGAGACCCGCTAAAACGCAACAGAATAACAACTTCTACACTCTTGTCACTATCTGCTAATACTTCTACTATATGACATTCCCGTCTGCCTCTGTCCTGGTCTGAAGAAGTAAGTTCAGAATTCTGGTCCTTGTATAGAGCCCAAATCTCACCTTTTTTAGGGTAAATTTCATATATACTATTTTCCATGGGTTCAACTTTTAGTTGATGAGAGAATGCTGAGGGAGAAAGAATTTGTGGTTTGGCTTTTTTGATTTTGAAGGAGCCACAGGATATTGCTCGCTTGAAACCTTCTGGTGGCGAGCAGGGTTCAAGTTCGGATACATGCAACCTAAAATTAGAGGTGGATTCAATCTTCTTGATTTGAACATAAACATCAGGCATATTATCCCTATCACCGTATATCGCCCATATCTGACCACACTGAAACATCTCCCTAGATTTTTCCTTATTAAAGTCATGACGCACTCCCACAACTCCGGAATCTTTTTCCAAACACGTGTGATCATTTCCCACCGACTGAGTTTCCTTAATGTTACTGTTAGTGTTGGAATGATTATCAGCCAACTTGCTAGTGGCACATTCACCAGCACCTCCTGCATCATTTTTCTTGCTTAAATCTCTTGGTGACCTTCGAACTGTCGATGTCTCCACATGATAATTTCTCTTGTTGGGTTTCTGCGGTTTGGTCTGGCTTGCAGCAGCTTCACTTCCCTCTGGTTGACTGTAGTCCCTGTGGCTTGTGTACTTCTTGTGTTCTCTGACCTTATGTTGACTAGTACTTGTATGACCATTGCCCATATTTTCTGCGTTTGACCTTGGCGGTTTTTTATTGATAGGTGGACCACCACTTTCTTGCAATTTTGCTTTGGGAATACTCTCGTTACACTTTGCCTGATCAACTTTACACTTGGATGATTCCTGGCAAGATCTGACTCCATTGTTTAACCTTCCATCCTCCATCACATCGCCTGGATCGCCAACTTGAACCTGAAAAATACTCTTAGGCAAGCCAGCAGGGTCAAGTTCAAATGATCCTTTTGGAACATCTTTCCTTTCATCACCAGACATCATAAACGAAGGAACTCGGTGTGAAAATCTATACAACTCATTAGGTGGAACACAAAATAATCCAACTCCATTCTGCACAGTTTGCTGAAAGAGACAAACAAACCCTTTCACTTTGCTCAGATAAGTAACTTTAACACCATCTTTCTCATCAAAATCAGAAAGGACTTCGACAAATTCAAATTGATATTCTGCATTCTTTTCAGGTTTAGAACCCCATCCTATATCCCAATGTCTGAAAATTGCCCAAGTTTCTCCCTTCATGGGATATACTAGATAAGAACCTCTAGCACTCCCTTTTACACAATGCACCTTGTGAGAGAACATAACAATATCTTTAGTTATCTGAGTACTTCCAAGTCTGTACTTACCGCAAGCAATAGGCAAATTTGCATCATGCCATTCAATCTCATCATTGAGATCTGGATTTGGTTCCAGCCAAGTATATTCCAGTTTGAAAGGGGAGTGTACCTTCTTGATGCGAGCATAGAATCTTGGCATAGAATCAGTATCATCATAAATAGCCCAGTATTGATCAGCAGCAAAACAATCCTCTATCCTAACCTTATCAAAATCACTGAATTCTGGATCAGGACAGAATATAATATTGGGCTTGGATGTCTCCTTTCTTTTTGGATTCAATTGCTCAACTTTCGCTTTTTTCCTTAAAGCTGTTTTTTCAGGTTGGCCGTTTGTTTTGTTTCTCGTCTCTCCATTCTGACCAGCCACATCAGCAGTGAAACTAGTTGGATCAACACCCTTTTCTTGAACATTGCTAACTTTCCTGCCATTTCCATTCACTGAATCTGCTGATGCTGACTGCCTTGCTCTCTTATTTCCAACATTTGCTTGGGTTCGTGATTGCTTGGCCTTAGATGTAGCATGGTTGGAAGTTCCAGCAGCAGCCTTTGTCACCCCTGCAGTACCATGGCCATCTTTACTCTTCGGAACCTTACAAGAGGCCCCATGGCCATCTTTACTCTTCTGAAATTTACTAGAGACCCCGTCTCCAGCCCCACGTTTTGTTGATACAGGACGAGAGGGCACAAACTTGTCCTCCGGTCCTTTACCATAAGGTTTTCCACCATTACTTTGTGATGCTTCTTTTGGTGGCACCTGATTTGGAGTATCTTTTTGTCTGTAAAATGATGATGTATGTCCTGACGGTGCAACCGGTGACCCTATATCATGAGCTTTGAAGAGTTTAAAACATTGTCGACAATGCAAGGTAGCATTTATAATGTTTTTGTAGTACTCGTACTTAGTATTACAATGTTGGCATGATGTCCAAAATGTCTCCTTCTGATTCAAATTCGAATTTTGAGTACGGAACTGTGAATGAAAACTATTATGGTGATGGGACGAAGCCTGAGGTGCTTTAATTCCAGCAAGGCGGCTAACCTTCATGTTATATAAAGAACGCTTTGCTGGGTCACTCAATACTCTGTTAGCTTCCACAATCAACTTGAAAGCAGCCTCTGCCCCAGCAGATTTATTTTTATCAGGATGAAGTAGCAGCGCGAGTTTTCTATACTGTTTCTTTATCGTTGCTTCTTCAGCAAATTTTTCAGTTAGAAGAATTCCATACCAGTCCATATCAGACGTAAAGAGTTTGTTCTGTGCAGCAGAGTGAACCTCACAAATAGTAATGATCTGAGTGATGTTCTGGGTATCAGGAAACAGTTGCCGAGCTTTCGAAGCAAACTTCAGTGCCCCTGCAAAGTCGCCAGTCTGCAATTTATTCTCAGCAATTTCTTTTGCCCTCAGAGCCTCATCCTTGTTGCACTCCATGAATAAGACGAAATCAAAACTCAATTAATGTAGTTCCCCTCAATCATAAAACATACAGACAGGAAACTTCTGCCTTTCAGACACAGTGCAACATTTTCACCTGATTGACAAAGCCAAAAACCCCAATGAACCATTAAACAAGAATGTCATGAATTATTTGCATAAACAAAACAAAGTGAGTGTTTGCAACTGAAACTTGAGCTTCGAAAGTAAGTTTCTAATAAACTTATTGCATGTTTGCGTCAGACATATGCTCAACCCAAAGTCTCATTCAAATGACAACAAATGTGCTTTTATGTGAAAATCATATTGTTTTTCACAAAAATAAAGTTCAGTTGTAGAATCCCATTGAAGCCACAGATCATCCCCATACTTTTGCATTCAGCTTCAATTTTCAACTAAAATTTGTTTATTTTAAATAGAGGTATCAAAACATAAATTCCATCAGTTCAAAACTCACTAAGACCAATTTTACAAAACCATGATCATCAATAATTAATCCTGCAACTGTATCTAAACATATATAAGTATGAAATTAAATCAATAACGATTAATCTCACTAACTTATAACTTTTCTTGAGATGCAATTACAAATGGCATTTGACCATATAGCTTATAAGCTTAAAAACAAATCATTTTTAACCTTGTTCATTATAAAATAACAAAATAACTACCCACGTGTTTCTAGAAGGAAAAAAAAAGCAACTGCATGCGTTATTGCACTTCTAGAAAAAAGCAACTGCATGCGTTATTGCACACCAAGTATTCTCCGATTGTATGAGCATGCATATTTGCTTTCAATTTTCAATGAAATTTTTTTATGGAAGCATCTTGATTTCTATTGCCTTTTTGTCTTGATTCAGACTATTTAATTTTAATAAAAATATATATAACACTGAACCTACACAAGTTCAGTTAAACAAAAAATTCTCAATTGAATTCATATAGCACAAACATTTACTATCTTAAATATGAAAAATAATTTCAACAAAAAAAAATTATAAAAAAGTAAAAACAAGTAAAAAAATAACCGTTCATAAAAATAATTCATAAAAAATCAAGGAAACCTGTAAACATACTTTCATGTCATTTCACATTATCACCCACTCCAACAACTTAAGTTACCAATCATTTTTAATTTCAATCAAGCCAACTGCTCAACTATCAACTAGCTTGTCATTCAGATAAGTTTAAACAAACAGAACCTTAGTCTAAAGTGCTTATAGGAGTGACAATAACTTTACCAAGCATGCAATTAAGAACCCAAAAAAAAAACGTTTCCCCATACCGCAAATTAAAAAAATCCACATTTTTCACAAAACTACAAAAGTAGATCTAAACATGCAATAAATATAATTAACAAAAAAAAACTTGAACAAATCAAATGAGAAGCCAGAACCCTAAAATAAGCTATTTCGATTCAGAAGCTGAATCTCATGAAAAAGTGGTCGATGCGCATTTCAGCTTAAAAACTAACGATAAAGGAAACTACAGCCACATAAATAATTGAAATTAAAACCGTAAAATTCAGACATTGATTGACATGGAAGTTAGGTCAGAACAATCACAGCATAATCTAAACCCTAATTTCAAGTCAATTTCAAATGTAAATAAATAAAAATTGAAACCAAAACAAGATGAAACATAAACCCTAAGATGAGATCTGAGAAATGAACGAGTAGAGAAACTGACGAATTCGGAAATGATGATGGAACTTACCTGCGGCTGCGTGAGTATCGTATCCTTCTTCTTCTGCGAAGATTTTGGCACTTGCGTGGTTTTGGTGTTTGTTTATTATTTATATTTATTTGAGTGACTTTATAACTTGTTTATTTATTTGAGGAGTGCGGGCACAAGTTAGAGAGAAAAATATAATAAAAATTTATTAGAAATTGTGTCTCGAAATTAATACGAAATTATAATTAATAAATTTATCTTTTTTAATACAAATTTATATTTATAGATTTTAAGAAATACTCTATTTATTTATATTTTTTCTACCAAATGCATAAATGTATGTTTATATTTTTAATTAATTAAAAAGAATATTTAAATACAATTTTTTAGGCGTATATTTTACTATTTTCTAATGTAAATAGGATAAGTGGATAATTTTCTATTACATGTAATTTTTTTCTATTTAAATATATAGGTTATATTTTTATTGAAAAGTAGTTAAAATCACACCTAAATTGTAAGTAAATTTTTTCGTTAATTAATGAGTTAGAAATCCCTTTAATCGGAAAGTGTAAAATATGGGTTTGATTTAAAGGAAGAAACTCTTCAAATTTCTACAATAAATTCTCCTTTTTTTCAATGTATAGAAACTTAGATAATGTGTAGAAAAACTAAGTTTAACATTTAAATTTGAAAAGATCAGTTTTAATTCTCTAACTATTTTCAAGAAGAAAAGAATTTAAGTATTTGCATTGAAAAATAATTAAAATCACATCTAAAAAATTATGGAGGTAAGTTTTCTTCATTAACTAATGAGTTAGAGATAATAAAAGAACCTCTTAATTGAAAAGTGTAAAAATATGAGTTTGATTTAAAGGAAGAAACTTTTCAAATTCCTACAATAATTTCTCTTTTTTCTCAATGTATGAAAACTTAGATAATGTGTAGAAAAACTAAGTTTAACTTCTAAAAGAAAATTTTAATTCTTTAACTATTTTCAAGATAAAAACTTAAGTATCCAATAATGTTTCTTTTAAATATTTAATCCATGAGATATTTTGATTTTCAAGATATATGTAGATCTTACTCATTTCTTGCATGAACATTTTAATTTATATTTTATTTATATTGTTCATTTTGGTAGGATGTTGTATGTGGTGTCTTGATTTTGCAGAATCGAGGTTGTAGCTCTCCACCAGCGGCAAGTGCCTTAGATGTTGGTTTTGGAAAAATTGTGTTTTGGCTGGTGGAGGTTCGTGCACCTCTCGGTGTAGTGTTTGAGGTACTGACAGTTCTTGGAGGTTAACAGTCTCCTTTTGATTCAGGGAGTGTCTCACATATGTATTCTTTAGCAACTCGTCTGTCGTGAGGGTGTTCTGTGGAAAGTTAACTGTGTTTTGCATAAACATTATGTGCCAATGATCATGACTGGTTTGGTGGTTACTTCGCAGTTTGGATGTAGAGCATTAGCCCAGTGCTTTAGCGGTTATGTTGTAGCAGTAGTGATTTCTAACGTAGTCGTTTTGGATTAATTCTAAAAGTAGTTATTTGGTTGGTTATATAGTCAAGTCCGTAGTGCTTTGCAATTGTTTTGGTTTTGTGTTTAGTTTTGACAGTGGTATTTGCTTTAGGTGTTTAATGCTTTGTAATGGTTTGTAATTTAACCTTGTTGTTGTTTTCCATACTTGGCTTGGTGGGTGCCTACATAGTCTTTGGACAGCCTTGTTGGTTTTTGGCTTTTTGGACTTTATTGGTCTGCATTGAACTTCGTATTTGCGCTACTTTTCTTGTGCATATCTTATGCCAGGTTGAGTTGTTTAAGACAATGTTTTAGCCTTAAAAAAATTAAATTATGACAAAGTCTGCATATTTAACATTATTGTAGCTTGTGAACGTTTCCCAAATAAGTTGTTGTTACTGATCAAGTGCAGCAACAGGATTCTTTAATCAGATATATAAAGCTTAAATTGCTTATGCCATGACAAGTCTCAAAACGGTATTGCAATGTATCATATTCAAAAAACTGAAGATGAAACTATAGAATTTTGTTGAAACATCAAGTCAACTTAAACTAATACTTAACATAAGAAATAAAAAAGTTTTCATGATATACACAAGCAATGCAATCTTTTTGAAATCCATCAGCACGAAATTTACAGCTTAAGGACCATAATCTGCATATTATCCAATGGTTCCTGCAACAATGTTCCAACAATTAATTATAAATGTCATTGTTATTAATATAAAATAAAATTCCATAATTTAAATAGTATAAATTAATGTTTAGAATCAAAAACAAAAAAAAAATTGTGTCATGAATATATAAAGTAAAATGAAAATTTAACTTGTATCACAATAGTAAAAGATAAAAAGTTTACTGACTAACAAAGTACTTCAAAGACCTCTTTGTACACAACACTTGTAATAGTCAAACACGTACATTGTCCTTGTCATGTATTAAGATTTTTAGCCCACTTTTTCTCTTAACTCTTGAAATAACAACATTCAACTGGACGTGACTAAACACGGGAGTAGGCAAGTACAGTCCAACACTATCAAGTGATTGACCTTGGGATTTATTAATTGTCATTGCATAGCAGACAATTATCGGAAATTGTCTCCTAATCAACTTAAATGGCCAAGGTGAATCGGAAGGTGACATAGACATTCGGGAAATGTAAAAAATGTTACCTATGTTCTTTCTAGACATGATATTTGCTTCTATGATATGATTTGATAACCTTGTACAATTAACCTTGTTCCATTGCATAATCCATCAGCTTGATCCAAATTTCTCATTAGCATAATAGGTGTACCAACCTTCAATTTTATCCTATGATTTGGAATTCCAGATGTTCTTAATTTACTAAGAAATTCAGGAGTTAAAACTTCATAAGCTTCATTATAACTTGTATTTGTTCTATCAATTGTATCTGAACTTAAATATTTTTTCTCTTCTCCTAAAAACACCGTTTAAAAACAAAACATAAAAACATTAGTAAAAGCATTTTCTCTAATGTATTGTTTTATGTATAAATAGACAAAAGGTAACGAAAATTTACCTGGTATCAAATCCAATATGTAATGATTGATTTTGTCCATAACTTCAATAGTTGAGGCAAGTATGGCTCTTCCTTGTAAGAATGCAACATCTTGGAAATTTTCCAACAAATTGGGATATGCGCTATCAACAATAGCCCTTATAGGATCATAAAAATTAGATATTAATAACTCTTGGGGAATTTCTATATCAACCAACCTACATTTGGTTCAGAAATCTTACCATCCCCAACTTCCAATGTCCATTTTAAGAATTATGCTAG